TTATCAATTTGTTTTTGTTTGTTTGTTTGTTTGTTTTGTTTTCATTTAAGTTTAAGATCTGGTTGTCAAAAACCATGAAAAGTCTATCAGAATTTGAATTGAATTGGGGTTTTCTATAGATAAAATTTGTGGAAATCTGACATCTTTACTATATTAAGTCTTCATTGCCATCAATATGATATATCTCTACATTTATTTAGGCCTTATTTTATGTTTTCCAATAAATTTTTATAATTTTTCTTTCTGAAGCTTTTGTCCAACTTCGTTAGATTTATTCATAGCTACCTTAATTTTTCTTTTCTTGGTTTGCCCTAGACACAGACTCTAAGACAATTGGTTTAATTGGGAACTCATCCCAGGAAATGCTGATAGGAGAATAGGGAAGTGACACAGGAAGTCAATAAATTATATGTTTCCAGGCAAGTTTCTGCAGAGTTACTGGAGCTCAGTGTGACTAGGGACTCTGGGGGACAGTGAAAAGCATACCTGAGTTTCCTGTTGAGAGAGGAGGGAGGAGGATTAGTACCCACCATCTCCCTTCTGCCACAGGTTGGACAGTGTGTGTATGCGGGAGTGTTACTGATGGTGGTGGAGAATTCTCCAGCAACTCTGGATACTCAGGAAAGCCCTTAGGGCTTAGACGAGGAGTTGCACATTCTGGAAGTTGAACGTCTGATAAGAAATAAGAGCTCCAAAGGAATAAGAATGGAGCTACATTTACATCCACCATAACGAATGTACTGTCTGGTTCTGATGGTCATTCCCAGGTTTCTATATTAAAGAATGGAAGGAACCTTTTTTCAGATGTGGTCGAAGGCTCATCTTTGTTACCCTTTAAACGCTTTGGTGCTACACCATTTGCTGACCCCTTTTTGGGTTTCATTGCAATTCGGATACCAGCTTGTTGGCCTTGGAGTAGTAACACATTGTATCACCTTGTAATGTTATTGTGTAGAATATCTCTCCATCTGCAATGCTTCAGTGACTTCACTGACAAGGTCTAAGGAGAACTGCTTTCCTCTGATGAACACTGTCTCTGAAATGCCTGCACAGTTACCATTTTGCTCATATTTGTTTTACTGTAGTTGCTTTTAGAGTGGCATCAAGAACAAAGACATTATACCTACCCAGATTTAGGGAAGGGAGAGGATTGGATGAGATTTGGAGTTAGCTCCTTCCTCTTTGCAGATGTGATTGGTTCTCAGACCCACCTATCCTAGCCCTAAAAAACATCCATCCTCTCCTGCTATAGAACTGGAGGGTTTTTTCATATTTAACTTTCAGGCTATCAGCCATGAATAAGCTATCTCTAGGTTGATATTTTGAAATATCAGTTTTAACATGCAATCCTATATTTTATAGAAAGATGGTATAACATAAGATTCTGAGGGCGGATTCCAGCATCCATGCCCACTGGTTGAAATTCTGTATCTCCACACCTCCCTGGGCCTCATTTTCCATATCGATAGACTAGAGAAATGATCATATCTTATTCATAAAGCAGTCATGGGAAGCACTCAATAAATATTGCCTGTTTTCCAATTCAGTCTTGTTTAGAGCTTATACTTTCTTTTGATGTCAGGATTTCTTTTTTTTGAGTCTGCCATTTAGCAATTATTAAATATAATAATTCTCTCATGTTGTCACTTTAAGTAAAGCCAGAAGTTAAAGGAAACGACTTATTTGTTTTGTTAAAGGCCATCACTAATTCAGGACTGAAATTGTTCTGAATTGGCAAAGGATGATTATCTTGTAAAACACGATCCTACTTCTCAACTCTTACCTATATTAACAGGAAACATGCAGAATGAACTAGCACAGTCCTGAGTTGCCTCCTCCCTCCACCAATGAGTCACTTAAATTACCTAGTAGCTCCTGTGAGGAAAGGAACAACTGCAAAAAGCTGGCAGGCTTCCAAATGCCTGGTAACACATTTGAGATAAAAATATAGGTGTTTATGTATGATGACATTATTGGGATCACAAAGTTTTCTTAAGATATGCTCTGGCTTATGAATGGCATCAAGAACAAAGTAGCATTCTCTATTCTGTCTGTGGGCTTGCCTCTCGGCAGGGATTTGTAGCTTTTAGTGTGAGTGAAGAAGCATTATAGTCACTCCTCTTAGAGTTGATTTCTGTCCATTAGCTCATTCGATTCTCACAATAATTCGGTGAAGCATATGGAACAGATAGTTTACATTCATCTTATATCTACAGACCTGTTCATCGTTAGGCTTAAGATCGTCTAGCTATTTATATTCGGTCCTAAAAATAGGACCCACTTTTATGGCCATTTGGACTAGAACCACGCAGTTCTTTTTTCCTTCTGCTATTTTTCCACTTGGAGACCTAAACCAAACTAAACAATAATAGTAACAGCAAACGTACAAAACAAAACAAAAGCCTTTTGAGTTTGTACCTAATTTCAGTCCAATGTATCCAAGAAACTGCCTTCTCTTTTATGATTTCTCGTAAGATCACCTAGGAATTAGAGAGAGTTTGCTTTCTATGGAGTGTTTGTTTCATATGCATGGAAGGAAAATATAGATAGGCAAATAGGCTTCTAGATCAGAGGTCCCCAACCTTTTTGGCAGCAGGCACTGGTGCTCCTATGAGGTTCTAATGCCCGATGATCTGAAGTGGAGCTGAGGCAGTGATGCTAGCGCTGACGAGTGGCTGCAAATACAGATGAAGCTTTGTTTGCTTGCCCACCGTTTACCTCCTGCTGTGTGGTCCAGTTCCTAACAGGCCACAGACTGGTACCAGTTGGTGACCTGGAGGTTGGAGATCCCTATGCTAGAAGAAGAATCAGCTCTAAAATGTCCCAA